TTATATGAGTGTATGTATATATGTAAAGTTTAATATAAATATAACATATAAAATAAAAATGATGCACAATATTGATGAATAATTTTAAAATTAAAATGTTAGAAATTTTTGAAGTAGGAATCAAAAAATGCAACCCTGCATCAGCTGTTTAAATGAAGATATTAGAGCCGGACAGATATACTCTTTTATATGACACTGCCAAATGAGCGCAACAAAGATGTATGATCACATATGTACATACGTAGGTGTGAGGGGAAAAGTGGGTAGAATCTGCACGCGGCCTATGGCCCACTTTACTTCCTACTGATTCACTGTTTTTTTACCTGCTCATGGTTGGCAGCGCAAAAGTGCACACAAAAACAACACATAAACCGGGCACAAAACCTCCAATTCCATAATTGCGAAGACAAGACGGGCACAAATTTAAGAAAAAACCAGAAGCAACAACACTCTCAAAAGCTGGCAGAAAAGAGGAGAAGAATTGGCGATAAAAGGGGCATACACATACCTAAATCAACCCCAAATCAAAGGGAGCGTATCAATTTCACTTTATGTATGTTTTAAGTTACGGTTTTTCCTATTTAAAACCTTACTAAAAATAATTACCCCAACTGTAATAATTCATGCCTGTAATTAAAATAGCCGCATTATAAAACATAATAATCAAGTGCATTAGTATATATTCGACATACCTCAATATATCTATATACATTATGTATTATGTATATACATACATATATATACCTAGATATATATTTACTTAACTACCTACCTTACAGATTTAACATTTCAAAAAAATATACCGGCAATACCCCTTATGTTAAACAAGAACAATAAGCAGGATTGCATAAATCCAAATATCAACTCAAATACGACGAGAAAAAAACAAACAAAAATAAATTCAAACACATAAATAAACGTACATATAAACACATATGTATATTCCATTTACTTACCTAACAATTATTAAATTACATACCTTACATTACATATACAATCTGCCTATGCTAGACCCTACATATGTACATTGGGTCAATTAATTATTACAAAATTATCAAAAAGTAGTTAATCATTTTAAAATTAAATAAGCGATGCGGGAAATTAACAGTACAACAAATTGTTAAAAGAAATACATAATTTATTCAAATCTAAAAAACAAAATAAAAAAACGTAGCTTAATATAACTAAGTAATTGAACATATACATATTTACATACATATTCGAACATTAATATACACATATTCAAAGTCCACATTGGCAATTATCCGTATCCGGCCAACAAAAACAAGCAGGATTGCGTACAAAAAATAAATTGATTTCTTCAACGAGCTCTCAATCACTTAAGAACATGAGCATATTAATAAATACATGCAAACAATTCTTGCATATTTATGTAAAAAGCGCGTTGATCTCTTCAACGAGCTCTCAATTGCACAAAACGTAAATACCTACTTACGTATGTGCATACAAGTCCACGTATTGGGGGGGTACCTAAATACAAAGCAGTCAGGTTTCAAATATATTAATGAATAAAATAAACTTTTTTTTAACTCCATATAACTAGTAAACATATATTCAAAATAAATACTTTCCTGATTATAATCCATGCAAGTTACAAAAATGTAAAACTAAATTAATAAAAAAAATACAAAAACGGTTAATGACGACACAAATCAAAACAAACCTTTAGCTACGCGCTCAAAACAGGATGTANCGTATGTGCATACAAGTCCACGTATTGGGGGGGTACCTAAATACAAAGCAGTCAGGTTTCAAATATATTAATGAATAAAATAAACTTTTTTTTATAGTAATTAACAATTGAAACATATATTCAAAATAAAATATATGTAATTAAAAACAGTATCACTTCATTTAAATGTAAAACTAAATTAATAAAAAAAATACAAAAACGGTTAATGACGACACAAATCAAAACAAACCTTTAGCTACGCGCTCAAAACAGGATGTAAAATTTATTTCATAAAGTGACAGTTATTAAGATACTGCACTAGATTCGAGTCTTCACGGATTCATGAAAACTCGTGAACATTTTATGGAGGTTACGAAGAATGTCCGTCCTTCCGGGACATGTTTACAGCCGTTTACATCAACCATCCGCAATTATCCATAAGCCCAAAAATTGTACCACCTCCGAAACAAAAGAAAAGGTCAAGCTGGCGAAATAATCAAACAGTTCGCATTAAAAAACGATAATTTTAATTTGGCTTGGAAGCTCTAAAAACTAAATACGAAAACGAAAGAATAATGGTCGATAAACAAGTAACGACACTAATGAACTTGCCAAAAATTAAGAAAGTAACAGGTGTAGAATTCGTCAAACTATAATCCACTGTTTCAAATTGTTTATCAGTTCTATCGACACTAACTATTCCCACACGCAATTGAGACCCTTTTCCGGTAAACATATGTACCGCAGCATTACCAGAAAATTTGTTTGAGCAAGCGCTCTCATTAAGAAGAAGCTGCCCAACCTGGCAACATATGAAACATTGTATTCTGCGCCTCGGTTACTCCATCAACAGTACGGCTACAACATACTATGCGTGGAACCCGGGAAAAACTGGCGCACCCTAAGGAAACACAGTACAATACACCACATCCGATGGCACCATACTTACATATACATCACCACACAACTGAACACCAACACAACTCACCACGCCTATACACCAACCCCAACAACAAAAAGGATGGACAAAATTACAGCACACACGTTCATTTATCGACACCTAACCCGCGCGCTTCATTTTATGAGTGGATAAAAGCTTCGTCACCACCCGGCTACAACATCCTTCGCTACAGCTCCATACTTGGATTGGATTACGATTCTGCACGTCACTTCGTTTGATCGCAATTGATCTTACGTTCCACCGAGCTTAGATCAATGCACCAGTACATTTGCTTTTGCATATTTTATTGCAAAACCGAATAATTTCGTCTCCAAATTAAATGCATTTTAAACTCGACATTGGTGTGAATTTTTTGATAATAAAAGGTGCGAACAGTAGCTATACATTTATTCACCTTCTTTCAGGAAATACAAATACATTATATAAAGATTTGAATTATTCTTTATTGTTCATGTATTCTATGGTCATACTCTTCAGTTAAGAAGCTTGTGAAACACGATATTTTCTGTTTAATTATAAAGAATAAACGACGCATATAACCTTCCGTCCCTTGAACATGCCAAATATAAATGACCATGCGAAGACATGGATTTTTCAGATTCAAACCACAAACTTATAAAAATTGACCTTGTGATTTGTTAATGGTCATTACGAATGACAGAATCGGAATTTGGGATCATCGGTATATTCCGAATTAAAACTT